AATATTCTCTCAATAATTGTGTGTTTTTACAATAAATATAATGAATCCTATTTATAGGGAACTCATAAAACCTAGCTAAAGACAGAATTTAAGTCTTAAAGATATCAAAAATATACTATACAAGAGTTTTAACTGAAATAGAAGATTACAAGAAAATTGAAAAAAATGCATCCTAGTTTGAACTATGCGGTCGCATAGGTGTAACCCATGCGGTCGCATAGGCCACTTCAATAACCCTCCATTTGGTTCGGTATCTATGCATGCGACCGCATGCATAGCTGTGCTATGCGGCACATAGTTTCACTCCTTAGCTCCTCGCCTATTGCTTGCACCAAGTTGATTCATCTCGTTTCTTCTTCCAAACCTAACACGAAACTTGTCCATTTGCTTGTCGTGATCATTGTTTCGTCCACCGTGGTTTGAGCAAGTAGTCACATCGCTTCTTTGACCAGTTTCGCCCGCGACCTGGTCATTGGTCCTTTCTCAACAATCAATGGATCAATGCCCATACTTGCTCTCGTATCATGGATCACATCAAACTGGAACTCCAACTACCTCTCTCCAACTTTAGGACTCTAAAGGATTATTGGTAAAGAAATATTTGGATTTTGGTGTTTGATCTTTGGATCTTTTATGTTTTGATCTTGTGGTTGAGACTAGAAATTTATGGAATATGTTTTTAATCTTTGAAGGATGTTCTCTTAACTAAATAATTGCTCAACACACTACAAGATACATTTGGGACAAACTATGACTTTGGTATGTATAATATGCAATGTTTGAGGTCGTTTGGGACTATAAAAAGTCATAAAGTCGTGACTAGGATTTTAGCCGATTAACATCACCGTTCGAGTGGACGGCTCGTAGACAATGAACTATGGGTTGACCGCTTGAGCTCTCCATGCGCGGACAGCGAGCGGCCACCTTACTGCAAAAACCACTCGAGCGCTCCTCTGGCAGTGAGTGAGTATTTTTTTTTGGTGACTTGGTCTTCTTGAAATGATCTTGACCCCTTCAAAATATACTTCCAACCCCTGACTATTTGACCTTAATTACAACTCAATAAACTATGATTTTGAATACGGAACTCGCCAATACAATTTGGACCTAACAAACTAAACTCCCAATAGTATTCGGCAATATCAATTGCAAACTTTTGCTTACAAAGAAAGAGCAGAAGCACCACCCTTAACACAACAGCCCCCACATCTTTTGAATAGTATCCAGCATATGCTTAGAACAGACCACCATACCACTTCTCATGGTCACATATAACAACTCCGACCCCTATGACTGTCCCCACATCAGCATTAAACATAAATTTAAGAAGTGATTGAGGCATCCATGGGTTAAAAACATGTTCTGTGCCTTTTATTTCCTTCAATTGGTGACTTTTTATACTCCTCTGCGAGCTCAATATTGCAGAGGCTGAATGGATAATCACTTCAGCCTCTCTTGCCATACGTCTGTGGCAATGATTTTCAAAGGGTTAATTTCCCCAATGTCTATTGTACTATGCACTTACAGTGATCTTAACCACTCAGCTTTAATTATTTTTACAGAATTATCATCGAACTTTACAAACGGTGTCAGGAAGGCCACTTGGTTAAATTAGTCCTATATTATTTAACAATCCAGCGTGGACGAAAGGTTTAACGATGCGGTCTTTTGATAGACCACAATTAGGATCACCTACGCAAGAAGAATAAGAAAAGGGGTGAATACATCCAACTGTGAGGCAGCCAGGTCACTTCAGATTCCAGAAGTTTCTTCCATTCAGTTAGCAGGAGGGGCAAGTGGGTAATTAGGCTATAAAAGATGTCTATAAATAGGATGAAGGAGGGATTTGTAAAGGATGTTTTCAGTGATATTCTGTTAGAAAGGAGAGCACAGGGCTTCTTGAATTCCCTTGAACTATCTTTCAATTTCCTGTTTTCCATTTGCCTTTCAATTCTATTAAAATCAATCTGCAGTATATTTCTTTTACAGCAAATTGCAGTACAATACAAGCCTTTTTACACTTTCAATTGTCTAACTACTTCCCTTGAACAGCAGCACCCAGGTGCAAATCTGTAACAGAAGCAGAGGTTCCTATCATCATTATGAAATCATATTGAGCAACAAATAGAGAAATCATGCAGCTGTTGGAATAAGGTTTCTGAAATTTGGTTTCTTGGATGGTTTGATTCTTCTGTTTGGGGGGTTTTATTTTTTAAGACAAAAACCACACCAATTGTAACCATCCCCTTTTTTTAATTAATTTTTTAAATATTTTAAATCAAAATATTTTTAAAACCCGTCAAACCATGTTATTAGTCACAAAGGTATGTATAAATTTGTATAGAGGAAAATATCAATAGATAATTTAAAACTTTATAATGAAATTTAGGTGTCTATCTAATATGATGAATATGTATTGACACCTAAAATATCTTGCTGTTTGTACATCATTAGTGGGAAATCAATTATTTTAAATGAAATACTGTCACAGAGATAAAGAAATTTATACACATATCTAGTTATACACTAGTGCACGTACGTGCGATGCACGTGCTACAGCGTAGCTGGGTACTTAATAGCGTGGAGTTG